TCGTTGAAATCGCGAAATTGTACAATTTAACGACATGTGGCTAATAGAAGCAGAGACGCAAGTGGATATTATATCAGATATGTTGCATCTGATGTGGGTCAATATCATATTCAATCCCGTGAATGAGGCTGGAAGAATAAAGCATTGAGAGGAACAAATGTAATGAAAATCAGGATGTTGCACGAGTTTGGTCAATACCTGTATATATATATATATATATATATATATATATATATAGTCAGGAAACTTCAAACACCCATCAATATGGGCATTACACATTCGCAGTCAGAACAGATGAAGGAACTTTGGAAAGACGGCTGATCATTAAGAGGCCACGCCTCAGCAACTTGAAACCAGCCTTCAGCAAACCAGGGAAAATTGCAGGGGAGCAGTACAGAGGTATAGGGAGGACACATTGTTGAACAAAAGCGTCTATCACCGACAAATCAGAACAGACGTGGAGCAGTCTTCTTATTTGAAAAGAAAAAACTTTCAACCTGCGAGCAACAGTTTGGGTATGTAAGGTTACTTTCCAGTTTTTGACACCTAAGTACTTCACATCTTTGTAGCCTTAGGATTCACTCTTTCGGTTTACCGCTGGTGTGCGTCTGTGTGTTGGTATGGCTGGTTGGGCGGACTATAGTTGTTTTTTGCAGCTCTCACTCTTAGCTATTCGCATTTGACCCGCAATGGGTGTTTTATGTTATACTCCTCCGGTATGCGTGCCGACTCTGTTCTACTCAGGATTGCTACTGTCTATTCTTTTTTAACCATACAAGCTGTGCTCTCATTCGCAGTACACTGATTTATTCTCTCTGGTCAATTTTTCCGTTTCTGTATTCATGGAGTAAATCTAAGTTCTGAACGATCATCTTGGTATCGCGTGCTTCATGTCCTCCGGTTTCGGTTACGCATCATTGATAATTCACTTTGCTTGTTCACATTCAGTCAGTTTGTTCACACCTGGATACTATCAGATTAAACAGAGCCGAATACTACCAGGCGCGTCCCCGGGTTGTGGATAGAGGGATACCTTGAGTGAAGATTAGCTGTAACTAAGTTGTGGTATACCGCAACAAATAACCAGTCGCGAACAAACAGCGGCGGCACTACCAGGGTGTGGTGGGTTTCAGGCTGGTCATCTGGCTCCTGTTTAAAAGCCGCATAACCCCCATGATGGTGTCGTGACAAAGTCGATGTGACTGGCCTTTTAAAACTAACGTCATTGACCCCCTCACTTTCGAGGCGAGGGTTTACTTCCTGCTGCCTTACAGTTCGCACTTGGTTGTGCAAAGGCTAGAGGTGCACCCTCAAAATGAAAAACACCAAGTAACGCTGGGGACATCTCTCGTACCAAACTCCCAAGGAACTTCATGATCATGACCATGTCTGGAGCGGGCTTATCCCTTCCAAGGAGCGAGCCTTAGTAAAGTAAAGTAACTAAGTTTGTTCACGCACCGTCGTC